TATATATATATATATATATATATATATATATATATATATAAAATATATATATATATATATATATATATATATATATATATATATATATATATATATATATATATATATATATATATATATATATATATATAACTGATGAAAATGTTCTAGAGTGTGTATTATATAATTTCCATACCCAGCGCAAGTAGAAAGATGTTGTCTGCCGCGGCTGGATCTCGAACCCGCGACCTTCGAATTACTAGATCGACGCTCTACCTACTGAGCTACACGGTCAGACGGATTTAAGACTGGAAATTATGAAATATATACTGAATGTCATAAACATACTCGTTTATATTAATTCAGCATCGAACAATACTATAAATCTTCGGAAGTAAACCAGGTTTATTTTATCCTTATCTATCTGTCTATCTATCTATATATATATATATATATATATACTTATAATGTAGAATAATGAAAAAACTTTCTCAAACTCAAATTTTGTAAACCAGGGACCGGTGTGTGTTTTTTCCAACAAACTAAAAATGGCTTGCACACGAAATTTACAAGCTTTAATTAAATCAATCCGCGTTGTTTCAGTTGATGGATGGAACATTTGTTGGGTTTTTAATTACTGTGCAAAACTTCAGACAATTTGCTTTGGTATGCTTAATTAATGCATACTGAACCTAATTTGCATATATTGCTGACATAAGCAAAGACAAACTCACTAATTAAGCATGCAAAAGGATGATCAGTTTTCTGGAAAAATATTCGCGTGAATAGTTAAAGGGCTTAAATTTTCTGAAATTTCGTGCAGCAATTAAACACCCAACACATTTTACATCCATTAACTCAAAATAGAATTAAAGCTTTTAAATATCGTGCGCAAGCCATTTTTATTTTGTTGGAAAAAACACCCCCCCCTGGTTTACAAAATTTGAGTTCGAGAAATTTTTTTGTTACAATACAACATCTTCAGAGCAATCCCAGTAAATGAATTCACAGGGTATGGTATATATATTTACAAAATAATGGTTTAATATTACTACAAAAACGGTTACACTGGTTTGAAAGAACAAATGAATAGAAAGAAAGGAAAACAACTTATCAGTAACTAGTTAACTAAACAACGAAACGTTAGCTAATACATTTTTACTTTTATATGTTTGGTTTTAAAGTTATTTGCTGGGCTCTGCTCTTTATCTTTAAACTAAGATTTCCGCCTGGTAAATCAATTGCTCTGAAGATGTTGTGAACAATATACAACGAAACGTTAATTATTGCCAATAAATTTTATATTTTTGTTATGTCTTGTCTGAAAGTCATTTGCTGGGCTTTAATTTTCATTTTTAAATTAGGTCTATTTAGTTAATCATATATAGAGTGGAAAAAATAAGTTTATTATATCTGCCCTGTTCAACCTGGGGACGAGGTTGAACAGGGCAGACATCCACATTGAAACCTACATATAGGCTTTTTGATTATTAGGTTATTTCTTGGCAACGCAAACTTTCTTTGGTACTTAATTTAGGATGCATAGATAGTTCTATTAATTATTAAAATAGCTCATATTATTTTAAACGGTTCGACCATATATATTGAATCAGTCGAAGATGATTTTTCTGGAAAACTAAATTCTAGAAACGTATAGCCTACCATGCATGCATGCATATAGATTGAATTACATTAAGCCCGGTTCACATGCATAATACCTGCAGTATATGTCGGCGGGCTAGCTACATTAGCAGTACGTTCAACCAAATAATTCACAAACGAATGTATGCATGCATCAACAGCTGTAAACAATGGAATAGCGCAGGCATACCGCAGGTATATATGTGAACCAGGCTTTAACTATATAGCCTAATGCACAGTATATAGATATAGCATAGATGGTCCTCATATCATGAGTCAAGTACTTAGGGTTCTTTATGATATATGAATGGGATGATATTTCAGTGTATGAATGTTAATGCATGATCATTTTAGCATTATTTTAAGCAATTCTGAGCTTAAAATAAACATCAGACAAGTGGCATCACAATCCGGCAACACTAGCCAATTAACAGCCTTTATATTGCAGGTCATTGCCATTGGACAATTAATGCCATGCGGTAGAACTGATATAAATAATAGAACTTGTCCTAAACAGATGCTCTTGTAAGAATATCAGCTTTCAGTGAAAATTAATACACTCAGTCATGACAGCCATAACAGGACACTTGAAAACAAAACGTCGGATAAAACAGAACAGTATATATTATATATATAAGCAATGTTCAAAACAAAGTGTATATAAATCCGTTATCCCTGCAAAAATCATGGATATACACGCTACATTTGACACGCTATATACATTAAAATATATAACATATTACTGATGGAATAATCCTTATAAATAATCGAAATATATATAATCCTATAGCTATAAATAATCCTATAGCTATAGCATAGCTATATATATATATATATATAAAAAATATTCATTGATTATTAATTCATGAATGATATTATAATTATCAGGTCATTGATAAAAAGACACTACAGTATAGATGAGACTGCATATTATTTTGATTGCTTTTTCTTGTTGTGGCTTTACGCTGCAATATTTGCCAATCCGGAAAATTCCGGTGATTACGCTTATTTCCTGTATACAAAGCTTAAGCATGCGTGAGACAAACATGATAATCGGAACGTCGAATATTCACGATGACTCGCTGAAACAATCAAATTTAATAACACCAATTAAAACTGTAACAGTAAAACGTTAGAGGTTTTTGTTTAACGTTTATGGACATATAGATACAAAGTAAAATCGATTTTAAATCTGCCCACACACCCCCACGGTTTATTAGTGCATTATTATTCACCGCACCCACTCGAATCCGTCTTTATATTGTGATATTTATAACTGTTTCAACACTTTGTATAGCAAGTGACATGTTAAAACAACGGTAACTCCGAAAATAAACATTTATTTCGTATGTTTTAACTGGAATTGTGACTCTATTATATAGTTTATACCAGTCACTTCTTTATTTTATATATAATCGTTTACAAATATTCCTATAGAAACAAAACAAACAAATATGAGCCTTTATATGGCAAGTATAAGCAATTAAAACCAAGGTGTGTTGTTTATTCATCGTGGCGTGTAATAAGATCCAGTATACATGACGACAGACCAGGGTCGCGATAATTCGAATTCTTCTAGAGTAAAGACAAATGTTATTTTCCTCTACCTTAGAATAACAAACAGTATTCTTTTTAAATGCCACGCTTCCTCCGTTTCAAGGAGTCGGAAGCAAGATAATGAGCTACAATTGCATGGGAGCGTGAGAGAGGCAACGCGTCTAAAAGACTATATAGTGATTATTAATAGAAGTCTGACGCAATATAAAAGCAGGTCACACGACGTTTTGGCATAACAGTGCTGGTTGCATCATTTGTAGCGACGACTCAGAAGATAAACACAGGATTTGTAGATATATAAACAAATTGATAAGGTATGTTCAGATGAAATATATGTATATGATGAAATTGATTCCCAGTCAATTCATCCATATATTTATTGATAGTGCACATGAGTAATAATAACATAGCTATTGTGTTGTGCCTTTGTGGTATTTCAGATATGTGCACGTGTAGCGAAATATACCTTATTCCTTATCTGCATGAAAGTATAAATGCATATGGCTCTCAATTTGTCAAATCATTAAGTACTTAGGCTAACTGTAGCAGATATCTATATAGAATACAGCTTGCCACTATATATACGACTCGTATTGAAGTCGGTATAGTTATAAAATATAGATAATTTTAACAGTGAATTTCAGAAATTTTACTTCTGCATGTTTTTAGAATGAATTTCCAGAAGAGAATTGCCCTATTCGTTGTAGTAACTCTGGTGGCTTCAACATGTGCGAATTACCTAACATCCTGTGACAGTACCTGCCTATCAGAATTTTACAAATGCTTCGGCAAATGTAAGGTGGCAAAAACTTGTACCCTGTGTGTGGACTATAAAATTACTTGTCTAAACAACTGTCAAGCGACAAGAAAACGACGTGAAGTCTACGATGCTCCTGCGAAAATCACAGACATACAAGGTTTGAAGAAATATCTAAATTTACAGTGAACAGAAAACATATATTTAAATTTATAACTTATTTATAATTTTAATTGTATTTATTTATTACTTCTTGTATAGAAGTTTATTTATTTATGAAGCACAAATTTTATGTGTAACATGGAGCAAATTATACAATGTATAAAAAGATGGTATTGTCGATATTAGACATTATAAATTAATATGAACTTAGAAAAAATTCATTAATATATACTGTATGTTATTTATATTTAGAATATAAGTTAAAACTATGAAAAGTGTTAATAATAATATTTTGACAAATTATTATATATTATTGTATTTATATTTCAAATATTTAATTAAAATTTTTATACAAAATTATATTGAGCGAAATTCATTATTTGGCATAATAAGTCTAGTCTCTCTCTCCATGTGTGAAAAAAAGTCCCAATACATAAAAAAATAACTGCTGGAATCTCTGCTATTCGTAGAGTCAAACCTTTGACAAAGAAACGCAGTTTCCATATATAACGCCATTGTCCGCCCATACTTCGATTACTGCTGTGAAGTATGGGATGTGTTTGGCGAAACACAATCAAAACGACTTTAAAAATTACAAAATAGAGCTGAGTTATAAATCATTCTATTGCTTTGCGTGCACAATTGGGTTGGGAACCACCCAAAACAGAAATAAATAATTAATTAGACTAAAGCAAAAATGATGTATACGGTATAAGTATTAAATAAAATGCGTCCCAAATCACTCACATATACCTCTCCATCGCCCCCTATACCTCTTCACAATATGCTTTCACGTAAAAATATTTTGCCTTTTCACGAGTCACGGATTAAGAAAACCATCGATCACGTTTCACGGCTAAGTAAAATAAGCCCTTCACGCTTCACGCAAAACGTATAGGGGGCCCGATCACGTTTCACGGCGAAGTAAAATAAGCCCTTCACGCTTCACGCAAAAAGTATAGGGGGCCCTCATTTACGGGTAATACGCGGTATTATAAGGCCCCTCATGTAATTAGTCTACCGCAACTTTCTCATTACGCGGACATTACTCATGCATGCATTAGACATTAATAATATATGTTACTATTTTAATACTCATTTAATAATATGTTACTATCATTTTAATACTCTATATTTTTTAAAACTTGTGGGCCTATACATCAAGTTTTGTAAATAGCTCTAAATATCACTTTCCTGTACATGTAAAAAATTTTATTTATTTTTTTTGGCACACGGTCCTCGTGGAAATCAGTTTCGGTTGACAGCGTCAGCGTGTGTAAATAAACTTCTATCTATTTCTATATCTATGTGTCATGATTTGCTACCTAGCGTGTCATCTAATCAATCATGAATAAACGTTGAGTCGACGTCAGTTAGCTGATGTTGAACCAACGATTGTAAACTGACGACGTCAGAGCAATGTTGATAGTAGTGGGGACGTCGCGACGTTTTCCTTACCAAATTGCAACGTTGAAACAACTCCGGCGTCCTGTGCCCGGATCATGCATTCAAATGAATGCCTGTAAAGAGTGGAATATTACGTATTATATCAATCGTATGGACACAGTTTGACGGAGGACGTTAGATGACAGAACCGCTTAATTTCATGAAAGATATGTATCAGTACACTAGGCCAAGATATGTATCAGTACACTAGGCCCTGGTGGACAGCCAATAATCATCATTTTCCACATTTATCAGTCATTTCCTTAATGGCCTAAACTGATTATAAAGTTGATTAGCTTAATTCAGTAATGGCTAATGGCAGTAATACGTGCATGAACTGATTTTCTAGTGTTTTGCAACTAATTACAACATGATGAGCAGGAGCAATGTCTGATGACGCCATCATGCATTGATCATATGGCGGTACTGACGATGTTCACCATGTTCTTTCAATTAATATTTTAGTGTACTGATGTGAGTGATACGTGCGCAGTGAAAATGATTTCAATAAACCTCTTTCCTACTCACTGTTTCTACAATCCTACGCACAAAGAGGCTTTCAAGAGAACAACTGAAGAGAGTGTTTTGTCACTGCTTGCCAAATCTTGAAATTAGCGTGTCCATATAGCTAGATGCATACAGATGTAATGTTATAGGCTATAATTATGTTTATTATATGTCATAAATGGTAACCGCGAAAATAATTTTCTTTAAATTCCTTTCCTATACTCATTCCTACAATCATACGCCATGCAAGGGGCTTTGAGAGAACAAAAAAGAGTGTTTTGTAAGTACTCGCCAAATCTCTAAAGTGCGTCCTTATATATAGCTAGGCGAACCACTGCCAAATTGGCGATTCGGCGCGACAGCCATCATACCATTTTTGTATGAGTTATATCATGAATCATGATCAGTCAAAGAACTAATCAAACATCACAAAACATAAAAACTGTGATTTGGACATTGACATTGTATTTAAAATTTAGGCTATCCATCATACTTGTTGTTTCTATAAGTTTGTTGTTATTTTATGGTTTAATCTAGTTCTCCTTTACAGACAATGACAATAGGATGGCTCCATCATGTGACGGTTATGTGAATGCGGAATTATTGCAGGCATGGATGGATGCACATGGTTCCTCATTCCAGAAAGCGGTTAACCTTCTTGCGGTTAACAGGAGTATATACAGGATGTATAAAAAAAAACGCAACCTCGGAATTTCCCAAGAAATCGACATTGTTTTGAAGACAAAAGATTTTAGGCGCCTGGGAATTTAAAATAGCACAACTGTCAAAATTACTGCACACGCGAGTGCATAAAGCAAAATTTATGCATTTATTTAATGCACAACAACAGTAATATGATCTATTAGCAATTCGATTTCAATTCCCAGAGGCCTTAAATCTTTTATGCTTAAGAATTGCAAAGTGATTTCTTAGGAAATTCCGAGGTTGCGTTTTTTTTTATACACACTGTATA